GGACTAGTTAGAGTCAGAAAAATTTAAAGTGAAAAACAATAAGTGGGAATGCATAAGCAAGGTTTCCATATTAATACAAGATGCAGGTATCTTGTGAGTAGGTGAAACTAAAGTTAAATTCCTCGTTATTGCAACCAAACTTTGACATTAAAGTTGGTTCTGATTCTGAAAAACATTCAAAATAACATAAAAAGTTAAGGCCAGGTCAGTTTTTTTTTTCTTGACACATAAAGCAATGGCTTCTAAACAGAAGGAACCTCTTTTCATTATGAACGTACAGTAGCTCCTCCACGATGTTGATAGTGAAATGCTTGTAAATCGTTGAAAATTCTTTCTCACCATCAAGGTCTTCCTGAAGAGGGTTTGGAACCAGACGACAGTTGTCAGGACCAGGCGGCAGCAGATCAGGGATCCCATCACCATCATCGTCATCGTCACACTCGTCTCCCTTCCCATCTTTGTCGGTGTCCAACTGAGAGCTGTTGATGACGGCTGGACAGTTGTCCCGGGAATCTTGATGTCCATCACCATCACTGGAAACAAGTCCATAAACTAAAATTCACACTGGGAAACACAAACATGTCAGAAAAAAATGTATAATATCATTCATAAAGTTACTGGCTTACCTGTCCTTGTTGGTGTCACAAGGGTCTCCAATCAAGTCATTGTCTGCATCCATCTGAAAAAAGAATATAGCTTTAGTTAATGTAACTCATGAGTAAGAAGCGGTAGGGTATAAACATGGTATACCCATGGTTAATGTTGATGCATCTGCAAGTTCTACTGGGGGAAATTACCTCATTACATCTGATCCATCGCGCACCTAGAAAAATTTGTAAAGGAAAATCTGACAGACAGCTTTTTGCAGAAAAACATGTTAGACTAGCAACAGCTCCTATTCTGGCTTCCATTCTGATGGGGATTTGCAAATAAACATCTAGATAATTTGGCCTATAAATATCACTGTTAGGACTCCTGTCTGTGTGGTTTGTGTTTTGTGTGTACCTGCAAGGGGTTACCTCATTAACGGAGTGTTCTTAAGCTGCTGACTGACACTACCTTGACGCCAGAGTGTTTGCTAGTTTTGGGTACTCTAGCCAAGCTGAGTTTTGCTGAGTCAAACTGAGTTTTTGTCAACCTGAGTTTAATCTTGCTATTTTTGTCTTTGCCTCTCGGCAGGAAGTCATCCTGCAAACAGGATGTTTCGGACCTTCTCTCCCTGGAAGGATCAACTGAGCCTCAAACTGAGCTGGGGATTCACACAAGAGGTTTGGATCCACTATCCTCCAAGGGATCGTTTGAGTTTCACACTGAGCAAGGGATTCATCTGCACCACAGTCCATTCAATTACCGCAGGGAATCTCAGTGGCAGTCAGTTTCTCCGTTCTCCTACAAACAACCGAATTCTGGGTAAACCCTGTCCGTCCTCCATCGAATGAGACAAACACTGGAACACCCCAAACCGACTGGAGTCAAAGAGTCAGCCACTCTCCTGGAAACATGAGTCTGCAAACCTTTTCTCCTCTTCAAGTTCGAGAATCAATTTTCCCACTGAACCTGAACTAACCGCAGTGTCTTCCTCTCACCTTTCAGTTCCGGTTGAGCAGTGTTCTGAGCAACACTGGAATCTTCACAAGCTTCTCAATAAACCTGTTAAACTTTTTCCCTGGTCTCTCTGTATTGGCTTCTCTGCATGTGGGTCCGAGCTCTTGATACAATCATGACAATCACATTGATCAACGGTGGGTGAAAAAATCTTGACAAGAAAATACTGTCAATACTGTAGCGTCAGGATTCTGCCAATAGTCCACACACAATAAATACTCCTACAAGCAACTTTACTTCATACAGACGCTTATAAACTACTCTTCATGTGCACAATTAACATGTTATATGTGCAAATACAGTACAAATAGATTACAGGAGTTCTTGTTCCTTCTATGGATGTGTGTGGTTGGATGTCATGTCTACATGCTCAGCCTCCCTCTACTTCTGCTTTTCTGCTTGCTCCTGTCAACTTTTGTCACTTTGAAGGCGTTACCCACCCCACAAAGCTAAAGGGATCATGGGAGTTTGGGTTTTTAGTTCACATGCCAACTTAAATTTTAGTTTTGTCTTGTTTGGTCTTTTGTTTTTTTAAAACCTTCTTTTGAAAAAAGTATGCTTTACTTTTGGGATTTTTTGGGAACACCTTACTATGCAGTGCATCGTCTTGCATCATTAAAAAGGTTGATGAGCTGTCTAACCATTTCTGACCTTTTTTGGCCTATAACAGCTTAACCTAGTCAGAAACAAAAGGTGACAGTATTTCATTTTAGAGTGCAGTTGGTGTGTTGGCAAAAAACAGCAAATGACATTTTTCACCTGATCAGGATTGGGAACGTAAGGACAGCTGTCACACGCGTCTCCCACTTTGTCTCCATCTCTGTCTTTCTGGTCAACATTGGGAACCCTTTTGCAGTTGTCCAGGTGATTTGGGATTCCTGGTGTTTTAAATAATACCAGTGAATATGAAACAAATTAAACTAAGTAACATTTCTTACTTTTGACAAATTTACTGTTTTGAAGGACAATTAACTTTTTATACCTATACAGTATATTTCTTTTATTAAAATAACTGGAGGATAAAGGATTCTCACCATCTCCATCCATATCTTCATCACACTCATCACCATATTTGTCTGTATCTGTGTCTTTCTGGTCATTGTTTTTGACTGCTCTGCAGTTGTCGCAAGCGTCACCAAAGTCATCCTCGTCAACATTTCTCTGGTCCACATTGGGCACCAGCCAACAGTTATCCTGCAGACAATGTTATTTGGTCTCTTCCTTCAAAAACCAGTAGAACACATGAAGGTTTTTGCTTGTTCACTAACCTGTGTGTTTGGGATCCCATCCCCGTCTGCGTCATCATCACAGGCGTCTCCAATCCCATCATTGTCAGCATCCTCTTGGCCAGAGTTTGGCACAGTGAGGCAGTTATCCTGCAAAAACAAACCCTTGTTATAGTTTCTTGTATTTCTACTTCATACCTTAAAAGACTGCATTCACCTCGGTTTCTTTAGATACATTTACTGACATGGTGGTATCCTGAAAACTCACCTTGTTGCAATTAATGTCAGGACAGTTCAGCTTCTCATCTGGGAAGCCATCAATGTCAGTGTCTGTTCCGCAGAAGTATCCATTACCCGCCAATCCCACACCGCACTGCAACAATCAGAGATTATCTAGCTTTTTTCATGTGGATTGTTCTTTGTTTTATAAACAACATGTTAAAATGATAGAGGCAGTTTTGTCAAACATTAAAACTAAAAGCTGAACTGCATTACCTGACATTCAATGTTACCCTCTCGGTGGACGATGCATTCAGCACTGGGATGACAGGGATTTGGCTGGCCATTACCACAAGCTCTCTCAGGCTTGCATCCATTCCGTTGATCCCCAATGTAGCCAGGTTTACAAGGACCACATCTGAATGAGCCCTAAACAGAGACAATGCTTTTAAAATGAAACATATAGCTGTGCTATGATTTTAAAGGGATATAGATAGTTGTAAAGGCTTTTTGGTCTCTGCTTTTTTCCTGTCTTTGTCAGTTTGACATTCATGTCCTCTGACCCCTAATTTGGGGGGAAATTAACAATAAGTAAAGCTGGTTGAATAAGCCTGCACAAATTTGTAAATAATAATTTTGATTCAGTTTAGCATGTACTCTTCTATTGTTAAGAGCCTATGAACTTATGTCTTTATTAGGTTCCATATGTCTAAGTAATCTTGAAAATGCTGTCAAAATCCATTGGATTTTGTGGAAATGTCTTTCAGAAGCCCTCTCTCTTTAGGTGGTCCAACTGATTGTAAGTCAGATCTAAGAGCCCACTAAAAACTTTTTGTTTTGAAGCCATTGTTTTCTTTACTTGGATAAATGCAACGACTTTGCTCTTGAAATAAATAAAAACCCAGCTTTATTTTAAGCTTTATAGCGAACAACTGTGTGTTTCTGAACCAAACCAGCTGTTATTTGAAACAGTTCATACTATCCTTCAGAATGAAAAATAATCCTGTTACTTCAGAAGAAAAGTAACCCTACATTACAGTGTTGACGCTGCTTTGCTTCGCAGGGTGCGTGTGGCTTTTTACGCAATATGCAGATTTGCTTTTATTATGATTCTTTCTAGATTTGTATATATTTTTAGATATATTGTACTGGATAGGGATATCTGTTACAATAAAGGCAAAAATGTTTAGCTACTCATTAAGTTTATATTGTGGTGGCTTAATTAACATTGTTTCTTTGCAGCATGAAGGTCCTTGATTTAAATTTTTTTGCATGAAGGCTACCTGTTTACCCTCTGAATTAGCGGGTTTGGTCTTGGTACCCCAGCTTTGTCCCTCTTTTCAGAGACATTAAAGAAATTAAAAGAATGTTGGTCTCATATAAAAAACAAGTATTATTGGCAAATACAAAATACAAGAAAGTGGTTTATTCCAGACAAACTATTCTTGTCATGGTTTTTTATCTGTTTTCTTTTTGAAATTTCATTGGTTTCATTCTCATTTTGTGTTATTCTTGTTGTTTTCGGTTGTATTTTTGAGTTTTCTCAGTTTGGATTGAAGCATTCTAGATGCTTCCATCCACGCCTGTTCCTTGTCAGCTCATTAGCCGAGTCTTTGTTGTATCTCCTATATATACTCTCTCTGTGCAGTTTTTCAGTGCTGCTTCCTCCTGTTTCTTTGCTCCTCATATGTGGTTTCCCTGATATCTCCTGGATTTTGGTTTTCTGTATTTTTTATTGGCCTGTTTCCTTTGGATAAAAATTAAATCCACACAAAAAAAAAACACCTCAGCTTTCGTCTCTGCATTTGGGTCCTCTAAAAACCTCCACTCAACTGTAACAATACTGCAGCATGTGGTTCATGAGTTCCTTTAATAACTAAAAACATTTTGGGTGTTTTGTTTCAGATCAATTTTTTATGTAGTCATTCATATTTGCTTCTGATTTTATTTTTTTTAACCATAGGTTTTCAGCTTGGGTGCCTTTCCTCTGTCTATATAAGGATTTGCAAGGCATTTTAATTGCAAATTGCATGAGGTGACATTCTGCAAAACTTTTGAGTTGAATAGTCCAGAAATTTTTATTGTTTTACTCAAATGGTACATCTGCAGTAGACTAACGTGAAATGTGGCAGTGCCATACTCACAGGGGTGTTCATACAGACAGAGTTCTCAACACAGCCTCCATTGTTGGGACCTTCACACTCATCAATGTCTCTGCACACCTTGAAAAGAAAAACACAGAAATATTCAGAAAGAGGCTTATATAATGTTTTCGAAGTTTTTTAAAAGTTTTTACGGCACTAGTGGCTTGTTTTTATGGACAGTAGTCTGACAGGACAGGGGGAGAGATATGCCGGAAAGGACCACAGGGTCGCCCGCGTCAAAGGCCAAGGCCTCCAAACATGGGTCGTGTGCACGAACCAGTGCTTCACCAAAGCACACCCTTCAAATCCCTTTTAAACAGAACTCAACTCAATGTTTCTACTATATTTGCACCATATTTTTCTGATCACTGCTGCACTTTATATATGGAAATGTACATTTCACTGCTGTAAGCTGCTCATTCACTGTTGAAAAGCTATTTGCATCGAAATTCTTTTTTGTGTACACTCTGTGTATACAAATTGACAAAGTTTGTCTAAGTCTAAGTTATCAGATGGACAGACAACATTTTAGATGGATAAAATCAATGTGTATTTTTGAAGTTTTCTTAGCACTTATATGTGGTTTCAGCTGTATGTGAATAACTACTTGTTGTTATACGTCATCATCCAGGGGGAGTTGTCCTGCAAATCAATGAGCCGATGCAATCAGCTAGTTTCCGTTAGACAGAAAAACTGAACCAATCTGACTGGATGATAAGGATGAATAGTCTCGCAAAGTGTCTTGAGATGACATGTGTTGTAAATTGGTGCTATATATAAACTGCATTGAATTGATTTTATATAAACTATTTTCTCACCCCTCGTGGGTCAGAAAATAGTGTCGTGTATGTGTCATCCTCAAGCTCGGGTCCTCTAGCAGAGGCCTGGGAGTTTGAGGGTTCTGCGCAATATCTTGGTTGTTCCTAGGACTGCACTCTTCTGGACAGAGACCTCTGATGTTTTACCTGGAATCTGCTGTAGCCACTCTCCCAGTTTGGGGGTCACAGGCCCCA